TACAAATTTAAAAGAAAAATTTTATAAGATGTGACTTATAAATGTTTCTCAGATTTATGGATCAGGCTACAGTGACTGTAATTCATTTTAAATAAAGTTGATTTTTAAAATAATGGCTAGATTCAGCTGTTATAAGGTCCACCCTGGAGAGGGATTTTTGTCTACAGCTGGAGCAGAATTTTACAGGAGACTCTGACTGGCAGGGTCCAGCCATAGTAGCAGATAGTGAACCCATTCCTCCACCCATTTAACAAATATTCAATGACATGTGCCAAGCAATGGGCTAAGTGCTAGAACACAGGGCAAACCTAGTTCCTGCCTTACAGAGCTTACAGTCTGAGAAAGGAACAGATTAATTGAATAACTGCACAAGACAAAGGAGAGTACCTACAGAGCTCTGAAGTTTACGGTGAAGGTGTGTGACCTGGCCTGGTGGCGGCGGTTAGGAAAGCTTTACCTAGAGAGGTGACCCTGGAGGATAGGTAGGTAGAGATGGAAGGGAAATCACTCCAGGCAAAAGGAATAGCCTGTGCAAAGATCCTGTGGTGGAAGGGCATCTAGAAGAGTAAACAAGACTAAAAGAAGGACAGTGTGGGGAATTCCCTGGCCACCCAGTGGTTAGGGCTCTGTGCTTCCACTGCAGGAGATACAGGTTCGATCCCTAGTTGGAGGAGGAAGGGCTGGGGAGAAGAGAGAGGCTGTAGCGGCTGCCTGTTGAGGGAGGAAGAGGTTGGGGGGGAGGGAGAGGAGGAGGAGGGGGAGGATGGTGTGGCTAAAGCAAGGAGAGCAAGGGACAGATTGGAGAAGGTGAAGCTGAGAGATGCAGGGCAGAGGCTTGTGGGGCCCCACTGGCCACTTTAAGCCTTTGGAAGGTTTAAGGAATTGGAGGTGACATGATCACATTGTGTTTTGAAAAGATTATTCTGCCTGTGGTGTCAAGTAATGGATTGGAGCGGGGCTGGAGTGGATGCAGAGACACAGTTGTAATATTTTATGCTAGATATGGTGATTTGGGCCAGAGTAGTGGTGCTGGAGACAGAGGTGGAAAACTTGGAGAAATATCTAGGAGGGAAAATTCCCAGGGCTTGGGGAAGGATGGGATGTGGCTGGGTGGAGGGTGGAACGGAGCAGTAAAGCTAAACACCAGGTTTCTGGCTCATGGAACAGGACAGATAGGTGGTCCCATCCACTGACACAGGGACTAGTGTCCCTCACCAGAGAAAGGAAACTGTGAGGGAAGGTGAGGCTCAGAGACACCCTTTGTATAGCTCTCTTCTACCTGGAAAATTTTCCTTTGGGTGACCTTTGGAGGATCTGGGCTTTGGTTTGAATGAAACTGTTCTCTCACCCCAGGATTCTTCAAGCATAATCTCCAGACCACTTGCATTAAAATCATCTGAGGTGTTTATTAAGAATTCAGATTTCTGGGCCCCAGAATAAACCTCATGAATCAGAATCCCTGGAGCAGAGGCCAAGAAGGCTGTATTTTAATAAACTCACTAAGGGGTTTGACTCCTATGCACGCTTATTATTTAGGACAATGACCTTCCATTTTTCTTCTTTCTGTACTTTTTCCATGCTCTCCTTGCCTCCACCCTTCTTGGGCCAGGAGTAGCCACGAGTTCCCAAAGTTCTAAGTGCCGACCTCTAGCCTTCTTGATCCTTTGAGTTTGAGAATGTTTGCAAGACAAGGGGCTCCTGCGGCAGGACACAGAGGACTAACAAAGGGGCTGTTCACGTTAGCCATGAACACATGAACCAGAAACGGCATGAGGCACTAGTGACATAACATGTATGAGAAAGAAGCAAGTCCTTCCCTCAAGGGGCTCCCAACAGTGGGGGTGACAGACACGAAAACATTCAAAATACAGTAAATGCGTATGTAGTATTTAGTAGGAGCCACAGGTACTGTTCTAAGTGCTTTATATTTACTACCTCATTTAATCCTTACAACATTGCAAAATAGATCCTGCATGACAATGGTGGTGATAAAAAGATGGAAAGAGGTGGCGGGGGGGGGGGGGGGCGGGGGGGACTTCCCCACCAGTCCAGTGGTTAAGAATCTGCACTCCCACCGCAGGGGGCACGGGTTCAATCCCTGGTCAGGAAATGAAGATCCCACACGCCACACAGTGTGGGGAAAAAAAAAAAAGATGTACAGGATGATGCTGAAGAGCCTGGGAAGAGAACATGAGGGGTTTCATGGAGGTAGCTATCAGATGAGCCACGGAAGATGAAAAAAAGTCAAGTCCAAGAGGCAAGGACAGAGGAATCATCCAGTATGTGCAAGGCACGAAATATGAGACAACACAGCATATTTGGAAAATCCAAATCCAATTGAAGGGGAGGCATGATAAGTGCAAAGTGGCAAGGAATGTTGATGAAGAGGTAAACTTAGCCAGTTCATTAAAAATCCTTTTGCCATATTTTGGAATTTGGACTTTCTTTTGAAAGTAAGACAGAGCTTTCAGTTAGGGATGATATGATCAGTTTTGCATTTCAGCAGGTGTATGAAGAAAGCAACATGGAAAAGAAATTAGGAGTTGGGCTGGAGGTGAGAAGACTAGAGTCTTCTCAATGTGAGAGACAGGGAACCTGAAATAAGATGCAGTCAGTGAGAATGAAAAAAAAGTGGGGTAGGTTTAAAAGTTCTGTAGGAAGTAGAATTGATTAGACTTGGTGAGGGATTAGATTTGGAGAAGAGACAGGACAGAGTTAAGGGTGATGGTCTTGTTTTCTGACTCATGGGTAAAGAAAGGTGCCATGCACAGAAATACAGAGGCCAGGAGAAAGAGCAGAATTTAAAATGGAAGATAACTTCCAGTTTTCAGTCTGGCATGTAAGGAGCTTAGAAGTTCTCACTGTTGTCCTTACAAGAAGGATGAACAGAGAATCAAAGACCAAGAGAAAACCTTGAACAAAACTTGAGGGGTAGAAGGGGGGACATCTTACCTATAGAGGAGCAAGGATAAGAATTACTTCGGGGCAGTGGGGGAACTTCCCTAGTGGCACAGTGGATAAGACTCCACGCTCCCAGCACAGGGGCCCCAGGTTTGATCCCTGGTCAGGGAACTAGATCCCACATGCATGCCACAACTAAGGAGCCCACCTGCCACAACTAAGACCTGGAGCAACCACATAAATATACAAATAAATAAATATTTTAAAAAAGAATTACATCGGACTTCTCTTCAGAAACCATGCAAGATGAGAGTGCAGTGAAATGTTTAAAGTGTTGAGGGAACAAAAGCCCACCAACCTAGGCTTTTGTATCCAGCACAATTATCTCTCAAAAGTGAAGGAGTAATACTTCATCAAACAAAAATTGAGGGAGTTTGTAGCCAGGAGACCTGACCTGCAAGATATGCTAAAAGAAATTCTTCAGAAAGAAGGAAAGTGACATAGGTCAGAAACTCAGATCTACATAAAGGCAGAACTTTAAGGAAAGAATAAATTAAGGTAAAATTAAACAGGAAGATAACTAGAATTTCGTAGATGTCCGATTTGGGTACTTTAGAACTTCCAGCTAGATGTCCCAAGGGCAGTCGAATGTGTGGTCACCTCAGAAGACTGATCTTGAGTGGAGACAGGGAGGGATATAGGAGCCATTATCTCTAAGAATGGAGATGGCCCAAGCAAAGGGTAGTTTCACTAAATCCCTGTAAGGCAGTCAGAGCAGGTAATTAGTTCAGTCAACAAAAAATATACACTGTGTGCCAAGGTTCTGTCCCTGGCAATGGAAATAAGGAGAGACACCAGGAAGGGTGACCAGGAGAAAGACAAGTAAAATGGTCAACTGTATTAGGGGGCTGACTGGAGTAAGCGCACAACAGAAATTCGAAAAAGGAAATCTATTTTATTTATTTTAGAACTATACGATTAAAAAGAAAGATATCAGGGCTTCCCTGGTGGCGCAGTGGTTGAGAGTCCGCCTGCCGATGCAGGGGACACGGGTTTGTGCCCCGGTCCGGGAAGATCCCACGTGCCGCGGAGCGGCTGGGCCCGTGAGCCATGGCCGCTGAGCCTGCGCGTCCGGAGCCTGTGCTGCGCAACGGGAGAGGCCACAGCAGTGAGAGGCCCGCG